GTCTTTCTACTCTGCCATCTTGGCACCTCTAGCATCTATTCTTGATAAAGTATTTGAATAGGAAATGATGAATACTTCCTTATCACAATTATGTGTGCATGTATATGTATGTGTATATATACATACATACATCAGTATATAAATATAAATATACACATCTGCTGAGCTTCCAAATCAGCATCTGGTAAGAAGGGAACACCAGAGGCATGCTCACTGAGGTCAAGTTTAAGGCATGGATGCTCATCTCCACCACTCATTATATTGGAGGTATCAGCGAACATAATTAGAAAAGGAAAAAAGTTAAAAACGTAAGAACTGGAAATAAAGAGGTAAAATTATCTCTATTTGCTGATGATATGATAGAATACCTAGAAAAGCTAATAAAAATAAAACTAATATAAACAACATAAGAATTCAATAGGGTAGTAGAATATAAAAAAATCAACATATAAAAATCAATACAAAAGAAAAAAAGATTAAATACTTGAGTATAAACTTAGATATTTGAAACACTTACATGAATACAATTTTAAGACACTCCTGAAGGGCTGAAAAATTCAAGAGTAAACTTGAACAAATGGAATGATATCCCCTGTTCCTGGAAAGTCAATTCAACATCATAAAAAGATCAGTTCTCTCCAAGTTAATAATTTTAACCTGAAACAAATAAAAATAAACAGAAGTTTGGATTAAAATACAGTCTATCCGAAGTAACATATTAATATGTCTTTTAAATCTCTTCCCATTTATAGCGCCCCTTAGTCTCTCTCCCTCTCCTTCCTCCTCCCACGGAGGCCCTCCCCCCACCAATGTGGTCTCTAAAGCAAGACAGATAGACATCATTGTGTGATGGCTCAGGGCTCCAAGAACAAGAGGAATCAAGATCTTTAAGATGCAGCCTTGCAAACTTTGTGTCACTTTTGACACATAGTATTAATCAGTCAGTCCCAGAGCCTGCCCAGATTCAAGGAAAGGGGAAACAGACTATCTCATTATGAAAATCTTGCAAAGTAACATTGTGGAAAAAAAGCATGTGGGATGGGAACGACTGTTACAGCCACCTTTGCAAACACAATCTACCATAAGATGCAAATTAAAACTATAAAAAACATTACTCATTCATCAAATTGCAAAAATCCAAAGTTGACAGCAGCAAATTCTAAAGAAATAGGCACTCATATTGCAAGTGGAAGTAGACTATGGTATAGCTCCCATGAAGGGGAATTGGCAATAATTACCCATAGACACAGCAATCAAGCATAATTCTACTTCCACCGGCATGAATATGTACATATGCTGGTTGTGTTAACTTCGTTTTTCTTTCCCTGGGCCCACAAGAGTAGGCAGTGAAGAAGATATGATTTTTTTTTCTTTTAATAAAAAACATCATCATTTGACATGCTAAGCATCATGTCTGGTCTTACATTCCATCTGATAAGCTGAGGACCTCAGAGTGTATCTGATAAGGTCTGATTTTGCAAGCAACTTGGTATTCTGCATATTTATGCACAGATGAGCTTCAACTTTCTAGTAATTCATAAATTAATATGTAATGAAATCATTTGCCTGGATATTTCTTGTGCATTCCTATTAATCTCCTGAATACTTTATATTTGGTGTTACACCTCATACTCCAAAATCAATGACAGACTTACCAGGACTATTTTCATGTGTGTGTGTGTATATGTACATTCCATGTACACCTGAACATAAGCAAGTTTATTTCTCCATAATTATCCCTCAGAAAAGTCCTCTTTGTCCAGGCCAAGCAGCATGTTTTTATGAGGAGCATAGGGAATATTTAAAGAAATCACATTATATTGTAGCCACTTCTATCCATGTTACTTTCAGAGGGCTAAAAAGGGCCACCAGTTGAATTATTTAAAAACAAGAGGTGAAGAAATACAAGTTAGTTATTATTCTTGGAAATATGATCTCAAAAACAAGCACAGTACGTATTATAGCAGGCATTTTAAAGGTAATTTTTAAGAACAATGTAAGCAGTTATATAATGTGGAAATCAATTACCTACAGGATGGATGAAAGAAATTGCCAACTTGATGTATATACACTGGGTAATTTGAAGCATGGGATTTCTTATAACATACTTGTGTAAAACATTACTGTCTTTCAAAAGACATTACTTTCTTTCAAATAAACTTAAACAAGCTGACAAGCTTTGAAAAACTGGTAGGTATCTCAAAATGTCACAGATAAATATAAAAACAATGAGAAGAACTCATGAGTGGAAAAAGTTAATATGTCATTTCATATAATTAATAGGCATATATAATACATGTTTATTTCATCTCTAAACTACAATCTATATTCAAATCTAAACAAGCTTTCTTTTAGCCTAAAATGAAAAAGAATATGAAAAGGAATATATATATGTACAACCATCACTGTGCTGTACACCAGAAATTAACACAACACTGTAAACCAACTATACTACAATTTAAAAAAAAACTTTTTTATAATTATCATAAATGTATTTTAGCCAACATCTATCACTACCCCTCAAATAAATCACACTAGACAAAGATTCTGAGCCTCAGCACTACTGACATTTGAGATAATTCTTTGAAGATGCCGTGTACGTTGTAGCTCATTTAGCTGCATCCTCGGCCTCGTGTCACTAGACACCAGGAGAACTCCTGTCCTTCCCCAGTTGTGACAAATAAAAATGTCTCCCGACATTAGCAAATGTCCACTGGGGGGCATAATCACTCCAGTGGAGAACAACTGCATTGGATAAATGATGCCAAACATCTCCGGTTAGGTAACTTCCACATTTTTACATCCTATTTTCTAATTATTTGAAATCTGATTAAAATATAGGCTCCTCTCTGGAAAAAACATCTGGTTACTATTACCATTACCCATCAACTCCTCCACTAAATTTTGTAAAAATAAGAAACTTATGGCAGTTATGTACAGCTGTTACTGAGGACTAACATTGCAAAATACACTTATCAAAATACAGAAATGTCCCAGAGAACAAAATCCATAAAAGATATAGCAGTTGAAATCAATAATCAGAAAGGAAATATTACTTTATACAAGTAAAACAATGCTGTTAGCACCTAACTACACTGTGATTTTATCATTTATGTCAGGCTTTCCTTCCCCTAGACAGAGTTTTCTCTCGTCCTCATAAAAGCAAGTTAATAGGAATAGACTTAACCATATGACCCAGTATCCAGAAGGAACCCTACTTCAAAAAGACACCTGCACCCCAATGTTCATAGCAGCACTATTTACAATAGCCAAGACATGAAAACAGCCTAAATGTCCATCAACAGATGACTGGATAAAGATGTGGTATATTTATACAATGAAATACTATTCAGCCATAAAAACCAACAACATAACGCCATTTGCAGCAACATGGATGCTCCTGGAGAATGTCATTCTAAGTGAAGTAAGCCAGAAAGAGAAAGAAAAATACCATATGAGATCACTCATAGGTGGAATCTAAAAAAACAAAACAAAAACATAAATACAAAACAGAAACAGACTCATAGACATAGAATACAAACTTGTGGTTGCCAAGGGGGCGGGGGGTGGGAAGGGACAGACTGGGATTTCAAAATGTAGACTAGATAAACAAGATTATACTGTATAGCACAGGGAAATATATACAAGATCTTGTGATAGCTCACAGTGAGAAAAAAATGTGACAATGTATGTTCATGTATAACTGAAAAATTGTGCTCTACACTGGGATTTGACACAACAATTGTAAAATGACTATAACTCAATGAAAAATGTTAAAATAAATAAATAAAAGCAAGTTAAATTATTAGTGCTAATGAAGGGGAGTGTAAACATGGTCAACAGAAGATAACCCAAATAGTTTGATCTGGGAGTACATATAATTCTTATTTTTATTTTTTGTAATTAACAGGATATGAATCCAGATGCTAAAACAAATTTATAACACCTGACTCTCTAGAAGATAAGATGGAGGTTAGAGAGGTGAGTATAAAATTACTCAAAGAATTTGGATCAAGGTTAAATATGCATTAAGGATAACTGAATGTGGACTATAATTTTTTCCAAACATTTAATTTTCACGTGCTGATCTAATTGTTTATATCCAAACACAATAACCAAATATACGATAGAATGCAAGACTCAATTTATGTTTGTAGTTTTAAAAGAATCTCTTTATTAAACCTGTTACAGTAGCATCCATTTTTTAAAATATAGATACAAAAAAAATCTAGGATTGTCACTAAAATGTAATCAATGAGCAACGGTATTAGAAGTTATTCTCCTTTACGTTTGCTTCTCTGAATTCTCAAATTTTTTCTACAGTGAAAGTGTATTTTTTTTTAATTGTAAGAAAATTCTTTTTGCACTTCCCTTTTCCACCAATTTTATCATAGTTTATGGCCTAACAACTAAGGTTTTTGGACAACTGCTGACATTAATCTTGTTTCCTGGGTTTTATTTCAAACTATCCTGAACTTTTCCTACACTAATTTTTGTTAAAGGCATTTCCTATTAACTAATGTTAAAATGTGACCTTTGGAAAACTTCATTTCAGATGAAAATTATGCGTAAAAAGCCAACTCTCTTATAATTAGATCCCCAAGTTAGAGTGAATAATCTATGCAACATAAGACAAACATAGCTCTTACCCCTCCATTTCCTGGCTTGACAAGAACTGTCAAATTCCTTTTTAAAAGAGTACACATATATATTTTTTAATTTGGCATTCTATACTCAGTAAAAAAAAACTATTCAGATTTTAATTACTGTGAAATTTGGACGACTCTACCAATGGCAAAGCTGAATTTTATCTTGCTGTTACCTAGCAAAAACCAAATAACATTGTAAGATTCCAAATGTTTAATCTGGTAAAAATGAGAATATACTTCAATCAAGAACATACCATCTGAAAAAACAGTATTGGTATCTTGTCAAATGAGTTTCTCATTACATTTCTGCAGGCCTATATGTTTAGAATAAATGTAGCATTCACATAATACTATAGTCCATGAAAAGAGTATATTCTTTTATTGTTTTTGTTCATACATGTTGTTTCAACTTTCAATAATAAAATTCAATAAATTTGATTCCTTAATCATAAAAACTTGCTTTACACATTATTTACATGTTGCCAAAGTCTACAGCATACAAAACATCACAAGGATTTGACTCTATGCATGGGACCATCACACAGGAGGAGGGAGCTAATCAAGTAACATACATTCAAAGATTAAACTGTAGACGTGCACAGTGTATTTGGCACTGTTCTTTAATATTACAACACATTCCTCTCTTAAGATAGGCATTATTAAGCCTTAGTTACAATATACCAAAATTTGCTACTCACATGAAAACCAGCTTTCAAACTTTCTAACAGTTATCAGTGTTAAAAAATAAAACAGAACCAGAATTGGGAATGGAATTCACACCCTCCAACTTCTTGATAGGCTCCAAGCTACCATCCATAAGGTAGGTTTAATTTGATAATTTTTCCACTATGGGGAGTGTCAAGAAGAAACAATTTAAAGACAATATCCTTCAAAACACATAGAGACAAACAACACTGTAAAGTTACCAATTCTTCTCGGGAGTGCAAAGGGAGCCCTGACAACACGTAACTAGCGATGATTCTGGCAGGGATTACAGAATGACTAATGCCATTCAAGCTGTGGAGACGATACTCGCAGTTAAACTCGTGAGAAGGATCTGGAATGCCTTTACCTGAAATCAGAATCCTTAGCAACTTGTTTTAAGGGCCTCTTCCTAGGGCTGTAAGACTCAGGTCACAGCTTACAGATTCACCCTGATGCGTAACACTATACTGCTATGAAATGTTAAGGAGAAAATAAACACACAAAGATTCAACTATTAAACCTTTCGTGACTTTGGCTATATCCCAGTGGGTAATTTATTTGACCAACTTCATTTTAACAAATAAGAAATCCCTTTACTTCAACTGGGCCCAATAAATTTAATTCATTAAAACCATATATATTCCAGAATGTTTAAAAAAGACACGTTTATAAAAGGCATAATTTCAGTCTTAAACTAAGGCCAAAAAGCCTCAATAGAACATGGATCACAGTACAGGGGAACAGAAATAAAAATTCTCTGGTAAAGTTGAGAGAGACGCTGTAGCATCACACAAAACCTTCAAGCAATAAATTAAGACTAAAAAAAGTCTCACAATGTACAAAGAACTATACTGTGCAAAGTAATGTCACTGAACCAAAATTTAGTTTAATCATTTTATTTCAAGTGTATTTTTAAAATCATAAATGGGGTTTTGTAATCCAAAGTCAGAACATTTACTCTTCATAGCTTCAGAATTTGACAAGCAACTCCAGACCTTGCTTTCCAAATCCAGTCTTGCTTTGCTATTTTTCAGACTCTGAAACCTAGTATTTAAACTACTCCATTCTAAATGCAGAGTTTTGGATAACTATTGGGCACTTGTTGATAAGATTCTTCTGAAAACAGTCCATCAAATGTAAAGAATGGTTTCTATCCAAGGATCAGCAGTGAGGAAAGAAATATTAAACACCTAACAAAAAAATCATTTATTCATTTTAAAAATAACAGAACCAGTCCTGTTCTCTGGCCATGAAAGACAACATGCAAAATTAAATTACTTCTGTAGACTTCAGTAATAGTTTATTACCTACACAGGCCTCAATCTTACTTAAAGATCTTTTATGCAAAGTCACCATCAGGATTTACTGAGTACTAACACGGCCCTAGATGTGCTATTTCAAAGAGGAACAGGTTACTTTTAAGAAAAAGAGCTGCCTTGGTAACTTCCCTCACATGCTTATTTTAAATAAACACAGTTAATGGAATTATTTTTTAAACCAATTTTGGGTACTCTTTAGCACACTGCCCACTGAACAGAAAAGGAAATCAAAACTTTCCTTATTAAGGAAACTTCCCATCTTTACTTCTAAGATTACAATGTTTTTACCTTCTTTTGACTGCCTCATACAATACTTAATTTTTTAAATTCTGCATTTCAATGTTGTAAGAGTTCTTTTCAAATGATCTTCACAACCCAGCTCACAGACAACAGAGCAACACTTTCAGGTCATGTTGTTTGACAATAATGAAGAAATGAAAATGGACGGATGTCTGGAAGTAAGTATTCCCTCTGCTCCAGAGGTGAGCAAACTTCTAACATGTGAGCAGAACTCCACTCCTCTGGAGATCCCTCAAACTCAGAATGGTTCCATTTAATACATTATTCTCAGAAATTAAAGTTTGGTCACTAGGAAAGATTGAACAAAAAGTATTCCCCTCCCCCCGAAACAACAACAAAACAGCTTTAATCACCCCTTTCTCTCCCCACAAAAATAGGGAAGTAGTTGGGGCTGAAGCCTTTAAATTTGAAAGTTTAGCTCCTAAAACATTGCTACTATTTGCTCAAAGGTGCAAGTCCACATTTTCCTTCTCCAATACTTCCCCATTTATAAGTTTATTTCCACGCACACACGCACACACACACACGCACACACATACTCACTCACACATACATACTCTTACTCTCCAGTAAGACACTTTTTTGTGTTTGTTGATAAATTATGAGGATTATGAACTAGGTGTATATAGGGTTTCATAGGTGCTTTGTAAACATCAGAGTCATTTGAGTCCTTTTCTCCAAAAGCCTGAAATCAAATTACACAACCAGGGATCCCTACTTTCCCAGACGCTGTTCACAGGCTGCATATTGACGGAGGGCAGAGAAAAAGTCCTCATAACTGATGTTTAGGTGGGAAGGCAAGGAGCTGAAAAAAAGAAAAAAAAAGAGGCACAAGAGAAAAAAGCAATTAGACGATATGCTATAATTTGGAGTGGGGAGCCAGAAGGCTAATGACCACAAAGGTTAAGAACAGAAGAAAGTAAATTACAAACATTGAGTAAGTCAAAACTATTTCTACTAAATGACTGTCAAGCTCACTGTGCAACAGTTCAAATAAAAAATAATCTCTCCTTTCCACAAGAAGAAAAAAGCAACTTGTAGTGAGGTGGAGATTCAGAAACTTTTTTTTCCCCCAAGTTTCTAATTTTTATTTTTGAGGCTCTCTAACAATCTTGTACCACCAGGCATACAAGACATAAATGTTATCTGATAGATCTCATCTCTTGCCTTTGGAAAAACTGTGTCTAAGCCATGAATTTCTATACTATTTTTAAAGATCACAAGGCAAGATTCTGCTGATAAAGTTTTATTAAAATATAAAACTGGAAGGTGAGTCTACAAAAGACTAAAGCAAACAAAAAAGTGGCAAAGTACCACACATACGGCACTGGGCTTCAGCCTATCTGAAGGTAATCCACTCAGGACGATAAAACTTACCCTTTGCTCACACACATCTATGGACCATTTGAACAAAAAAAATTATACATTACATTTCAAATTCTAAAGATAAAGTGAAAATTACTAAGAGACGTAACTTACAATGAATTCATTGAAATGTTAGACCATTTTCAATTCTGACATTTTTGTATTTTGAAATATTCATTCATCCTTCAAAACGAAGGCACAATGTAGTGCTAGAAATATTCAGAACATATTAAAACATAAGTCTAGATTAATGTAAAATTGGAGATCTATTTATAAAGGATCTCACTCAAATTCACTTCAAGAACTTGTCTCTGTCAGAGTAAAGCCAGTACTACTTGAACAGTTTATGAAAGTCAGGCTGAACACTGGCAGAGCAGCCCAGCATCCCCACGTGATCATATACTGAAGCCACGTGGTGAGTAATCAATGAATGAACAGTATTTATCTCCACCAATTCCAACTGCTCAAGGGGGCAATTACAGTGTAAAGACAAGTTCTTTAAAGACAGAGTGACCATACAGCCAGAGGATTCATTTTTAAGTATTTTAAACACTTAAAATAATTTTCAATAATTAACAATGAAAAAAAATGTCTAATTTACACAGCTTTATTGTGAGGATTTGGAAATTCCAAACAGTATCAGAGCCAAAACCTGGTCAGATTACAAGAGTCACATTCAGAATTTTACAGTCACATGCACACAAGAAAAGGTCTGAGCAAGCCTACCATAGATGAACTCCTGCCTGACCCTGTGGTTCTCTTTAGCTAAGCTTTCCTTATACTTCCGTTTCTTTCCCCACCAGGGCTACTGAGATGTAACTGACATACAATCTTTATCCTTCCTTTTACTGCCAAGAGCCCTGAAACAATTCAACATATTCCCTCCATTTTCCTTTGCCATCAACCTTATATCTTATTCACTCTACTGAAATGATATTCTCAAAGGACAAAGTTAATGGCATTCTTCTTGCTAAAGTTTGCTTCCAATGTCTTCATCAAACTACCCACTTTCCTAAGTCTTCCTCATTTTACGCCCTTTATCAACAGCCTCATCTCCTAACCCTCCTCAAGAAGCATTTGGCACCACTCCCCTCAGTGATTCAGAAGCAGTTCTGCTGTTTCCCTGGTCTGTCCTGTCAGAGCACCAGTCTTCTACTTCTCCACAGTATGAGTCAGACATTCAGACATCCTTCCTGCCATCACGGTGCTCACAGCCTGATGGACAGCAGACAAATACAGAGCAACCTTGAAGGTAATGTAATAGAGCTATGACAGACACACATACGAAGATCCACGGGAAAGCCTGTTATATGCCAGGTATCTAATGTCCATATCACATTTAAATCCTCAACTCTGAATTAAAATGCCCGTTTTACAGACATAGAGATGTTTAAATAGCTCACCAAAGTCATGTTATTGAGCTGCACAGCCAAGATTCAAACCAAGATCTATGTTCTAAGACATACTCTTCCCTCCAAACCACTCTCAACCTCACAAAGTATCACCACTACCTTTCTGGGAGTCCACCTGAAAGGCACGTGAAATGACTTGGGAAACTCCTGGGTTAAAAAGAGATAAGAGAAACACACAACAAATCCAGAGTTTGGAGATTTGTGTTCTAATTCACTTTGTTACAAGCTTTGGCAATGTCTTTCCCATTCTTCTGGCCTATGAAACGAGGGGGTAGTACCAGGTAACCTACATCCCTTTCTGACTCTAACATGCTACGTGTTCTTTTTCCCCTCTTTGATACCTTTTCCTCTCCTGCCCCCCCACCCCTGCCCCAGCTTCAAGCATCTCTTAAAGAACCCCTTGGTACCGTGCTCGTCTATGTACACTTCAGGGATGTCCTCTATTCTCATAGGTTCAACTACTTCTACTCCCCAGGTACTGACAATCCCAAACATCCATCCTTAGCCTTGGCTTCTCATCCAGTTACCAATCCTACATCTTCATCTGCCTTCTTAAGGAATTCCATCTAAACAGACTATGGCCTCAAAACCATCTTATTCCTAAGTTCAACATCTTTCCTTCAAGATCAATGGTGTCCTTTGACTTTCTCACCTGTCTCAATAACACTATAGTTCATCCAGTCACTCATGCTTAAAAACTAGGGCATCATTTCATTTCTACTCTAGTTTTTACCATAACTGGTAAAGTGCTAGGCCTGCAAGTATACTTGGGAACTATTTCTCATGAGAGATAGAAGTTGTAGTACAGTTCTCCTAAGATTCAGAATTTAAATATATTTTAAGGATCCTAAGTCTCTCCTTTATTTTAGATCGGGAGTCTGCAAATACAGTCCAGGAATGCATCCCCTGTATCTGTAAACAAGGTCTTATTAGAACATGGTCACACACATTTGTTTACATATTGTCTGTGTTTGTTTGGCTGTACTAGCAAGTGGTTAGTGGCAACAGAGAAGAGTAGTTGCGAGAGACTATACAGTCCCCAAGGCCCAAAAGCTTTACTCTCTGGCCCTGTATACAAAAAGTCTGCCAAACCCTGTTCCAAGTCAGCAACTTCATTCTCATCAACGTACTCTCCCCGAAATTACAGATATGGCCTCTTCACTTGTCTTTTTACCTTATCCTTTCCCAGACCCAATCTACTCTAGAACACACCTTTCAAAATCACCATTCCTGCATCATCCACAGGCTCAATGATGTCCTACTGCCTGGCTAAACAATAACACACATTCCTTATGCTGGTATTTAAAGCCAGACTATTTGATTTCACCTTACACTACTATCTAACACTAATCTCGGCTCTAGGGTGACCACTTCCCTATTTCTCTAAAATGTGATGTTCATGCCTAGCCCCCCAGCTTTTCTGTTTTCCCCTGCCCATCCCTACACTTCTCATCTTCTAATTACAGAAACTCTACCCATTTTACACCCTGGATCAAGTCACATCTCTTCTGTAGAATCAACAACTCTGGCCCACAGTTATCTCACTCCTGATCTCCTATGATGATTAGTTTCAATACCAAACATTTGCACAACCACACACTCTCTTGTGTCTGAGTCATTTACATAGATCTTTATTTTACCACTGATACTGTGAAATACCCGAGGGAAAGAATTCAATATTATAATTCTTTGGGAATTTCCACTGTGTCTAGTACAGTGCTAGGTTCAAGAAACACTTGTTGGATCAAACCAAAGTCAGTACACTTTTAATTACTTACACAATCTCAGTCAACCTGATGTGCCAGGGAAGAAAGCCTAGTGTGCTGTCCACAGGACCAAACTTCAATACTAAATCAGGATCAGGGAAACCATTTGAACCTTGGAAGAAAGAAAGACACATGAACTTAACACACGTTGCTTACCAAAAAACGATCAAGGGCAAACTGGTTCATCAAATTGGTTTCTTATGCTTTGAGTATCTGTTCTCGCTGGAAGCTTTAGTTGTATGTTTCCATACCCCTACTCCACGGCCCAATATATACTTTAATATCTATGTTATTTCCAAATAACATATGGAAGTTTTCTCTAAAGGCCATTTAACTGGATTAATTACTCAATAAGGAAGGGTAACCCCACTCCCACCCTAAACCCTACAGGTTAGTCCCCAAATCCCATCTAAGGATCGGGACTCAGCTGAAGTCTTCTCTTGGCATCCTGGAACTGGCACTGCTTTAAGAACTCAAATACTTATTCTGGCCACAAAACCAAATAACTTCTGAGATAAAAAGTAACTTAAAAAGTTATCTACTCTCCTTCCTTCCCCATGCTCCTATTGTACAGCTAAGGACCCAGAAAGACCAACTCCTAGCTGTAGACTATAAATGTTCTGTGTTCCCCAGAGCCCAAGCTCCCGAGGAGGGAAAAGAAGATTGTACACCTGCCTCAACCAAGGCCTGGCCATTTTCACTTTACAAACTGGTTTCCGTATAAGATCTGGATTGAGAGCAAAAGGGAATAAGAATATTTCAACTGCTTAAACATAAAGTAAAATAAATCTTAAAATAATCAGTCACTAGTATAACAGAAAAGTTGCTATAATCCAGGAGACCCAGGTTCTAACAGTTTCTAATAAGCTCAGTTCAGCCATTTTCTTGTCACACCATCTCTCCAGAGCTTAGTTCCTTCATTTGTTAAATAAGGAGACTGGGTTAGACAGGCTCACCCAGCAGTAATAAAGAATTATTTCCATAACAAAGTCTCTAAGAGTCTATGTAGGCAGAGTGAACGGAGTAAGTGGAACACACATTCCTCTTTCTGCTAAAAAGCAAATCCTCTTTAGTTTAAAAAAAAAAAAGGACAAGAAGGGACTTCTGGCTAATAGTGGTGTGAAGAGTGTGGTGACTTCTCTCCAAAAATAACAAGTATTAAACTGGACAAAATCAATCACCTGAGGGCACTGAATACTAACCAAAGCAAACAATTATTCTTAAAACAAAACAAAACAACACACACCAGGTAGAAGTTCAGGTAAGAACAAACGGTAAGAGTCTTTTGGCCTTCCTGATTGGGGATGCACCCAACTCCCAGGCCTCTACTCCATCAACTGAATGAAACAGTAGTTTTACCAGCAGGAAACTGACAGCAAAAAAACAGCAAGCTGTGCTGCTTGCATTCAAAAGATATGGACTTAATCTGACCTGGAGGTTGTGGGCAGGAAGGAGGGGGCAATGATGAAAACCTACGATTTGCCAGCTAAAAGTGGGAAACTCAAACGGAAACAAATGAGGAAAACCCACAGCTTTGTTACCCTGAGGTCGTAGTCCCAATTAGCAGTATAATGGCCAGAAATTTAATAGGGAGATGCTGGAAATTTGTGTTCAGATAAGCTCTCCATATATTCAGGCTGACTGGCAAACTACCACATGCAAGGGAGGAAGGATTGCAGAGGGGACAGGGTGGCAAAAAAGCCCAGTGAAAGGTAACAGCCAAGGAGACTTGAGAACTGACTTCAATGCACTCTCCAACACCACACAGAGATCTTGGAAGTTTTACAAATTTAAGGTATATAAGCACAACCAGTGTGTAAATCACTGACTGACACATTAAACTATGCAGACACAGAATGCCAGACGAAAGAATTAAAAAAAAAAAAAAAGAAACGAAAAAGCCAAGCAGAGACAGCAGTAGTCATCTTTATTCACAATATAATCCTGTATTTAGAAAATCTTACAACTCTGCAAAGGCAACTATTAGAACTAAGCAGATCTGAGTAAGGCTGCAAGACACAAAATCAGTATTTTCAAAAAATTATATTTCCATGTATTATCAACAATCTGAAAATAAAAGTAAGAAAATCCCATTAACAATAGCATGAAAAAGAATAAAAATTCTTAAGAGTAAACTGAACAAAAGTAGAAACTCTATATCCTGAAATTATAAAACACTGCTAAGAGGAAAATTAGGGCCCAAATAAATGGCAAGATTCAATATTGTGAAGATGGCAATTTTCCCCAAATTAAGTTACAGATTCAACTCAATCTCTACTAAAAGAGTTTGTTCCTTTTTTGTTTTTAATTGACAAACTGATCATAAAATGTGTATGAAAATGTAAAAGACCCTGAATAGCTAAAACTCTGAAAAAGAAAATCAAAGTTGAAAGACTTACACTGCTTGATTTCAAAGCTTATTCTGGGACTACAGTAATCAAGACAGTGTAGCATAAGGACAGACATACAGACCAATGGAAGAGAACAGAAAGTCCAGCAATAAACTCACAGATTTATGGTAAGCTGATTTTCAATAAAGGAGCCACAGTAATTAAAGGGGGAAAACACAGTCTTTTCAACAAGCAGTGGTGAAAGAGTAACTGGTACCCTTGACCTCACATCATTCACAAAAATTAAGTTAAAATGGATTACAGACTTAAATGTGACAGCTAAAGCTTTAAAAATTCTAGAAGAAAACACAGGAGAAAATAGTTGTGACTTTAGATCAGGCAAAGATTTCTTAGATATGACACCAAATGCAAGATCCATAAAAGAAAAAAAACTGAAAAACTGAATTTCATAAAAATTACATACTTTAAAAGAAATCATTAAGAAAAAGAAAAGGTAAGCCATGGACTGAAAAAAGGTATTTGCAAATCACATCTTATCACTAATAGAAAACTTGTACTCAGAATATACATAGACCTTAAAACTCAATAAGATAAACAACCTATTAAGAATAGGAAAAATATTTGAACAGACACTTAACCAAAGAAGTATAGATGACAAATTAGCACATGAAAAATGCTCAGTATCATTACTCACTAGGAAAATGTGAATTAGAAGCACAACCCACTAGAATGGCTAAAATTAAAAAAAAAATTAAAAAACAACTGACAACACTATGTCTTGGCAAGATGTGGAGAATCTAGAACCTTCTACATTGCTGGCAAGATATAAAATATACATCTGCTGATGAATGGATTAACAAAATGTGGTAAATCCATAAAATAGAATATTATTCCCCAACAAAAAGTAATGAACCACTAATACATGCAACATGGGTGAATCTCAAGAATAATATACTGAGTAAACAAACCAAGAGGTAAAAGACTTTATATTATATAGTTGCATTTATATAAAACTTCTAGAAAAGGCTTAAGTATAGCCAGAAAGCAGATCAGCAGCTGCCAGTGCTGGTGGTAGGGATGGGGATTAATCGCAGTCACAAGGGATCTGTGGTGGGTGACAATATTCAGAGGGTTTGCTTCTGTCAGAATAATGAGTTAACTTAAGAACTGTGTACATTTTTGTCTATCATGGGTCTACAACCCCTGCAGTCAAAACCTGGTCTCCCTAGGCTATCTGAAGGGCAACTTTTGGTCCCTGCACCACTTTTAGGACATCCTCAAAATTACTCTCTGGTTGCAGCCTTACTAGGCTCCAGGAAACAGTAAACTTCCCAGTAACCTCTGTCTAGAGGTCTATTTTAAGCCTATTCATTCAGTCTCAGTACAGACAATGACAGAGTAGAGAACAGGCAAGTAGGGTGAGAAGTGAGCAGTCAACAAAAGTAGGGAGTCAGGTGAGACCAAGAGGCCAGAGAAGGACTGTGCTCTGTAATGTGTCAAAGTGGAAAAAACAAAGAATGGAGAGTTAAATAAATGACTGAGTTAGAAAATGGATGATTAATAAGTAAAGTAAATGGAGAATCTATGTGGATGAATGAAAAATTTGTCTGAAATTATATGGTTATAGAACATGATGGACATGAATTTGTTAGAAGTACTGCCTTTCTTCAAAAGAATCAAGGACAAGGCTAGTAAGCAGAAGGACAATAAAACTAAGGCAAAAAGTTCTGAGGAGACTACAGAGGGAAAATAAGCAAACTAAAGGCTTTTATAAACAGTTGAAGAAAAATAAACAAAGTATGTTACAGCTGTTGTAACACAACAAATGTAGTGGTATAGTAAGTATAATATGATGGAAGGAATACTTAAAAAGGAGTCAATGATGATAGTAATATTATATTCTTGGCATTGCTTCCTAAATAGCTATTAAATTCAAACTTAATAGTTCAAACTAAAAAGAAAGAGGGATGCTATATGTCAATTATATCTCAACAAAACTAGAAGAAAAAAAATTTCTGAATTTTGAGAAGAGGGAAGAGAGCTGATAGCAGAAATCCTACTTTCAAGAATATTCATTACTTCCTTCAAAACCCTTTTAGGTCCTTCACCAATAGTTCCTCAGGCAAGCAAGCTGACTACAGATTTCATGATCTCAGAACCATTTCCACAAGTGGGTCTCTAAACTTCAAGTATAAACATAACAAGTATAATAACAACAACAAAATCAGGCTTTATGGTGTGAACGGAACTTAGACATTCTCCTTCATACTGTATCCTCGTGGGACAAACTAAGAACAAACGTAAATGACTTACTAAGTAAACTGTCTAACATATCTACATCCAAATCTGTGGATTTCTTTTGCTGCTGGGCTACTAACTGGCAAAAGTCTTGAGCAGCTCTCACAATATCTCCTTTTCCATCTTCTGGGGACAGCACCTTCACTGCCAGTTGGCAATTTAAAACTGGAGGGGACAAAAAAACAAGATATTAAAAAAAAAACACCCTCTTCCAGATACATTTCAAAATCAATTTCAAGAAATATTAAGTTCAGACTAAAATAAAGGTACTGTTCTTACAGTGAACAAAAATTGTTTAAGCCCTTCAACTTCAGTATCAAAACATACTTAGCTACTCTCCTCTGAAAGAACCCATGCTGTGACATTTGTGTATATATTTATATACAACCTTTTTTTCAGAGTGCTAAAAATGACCATGTATCTGTGAATAAACCCTCTAGGAAACAGAAATTTTAATTATACAGTAAATTAACAATTTCCAATCATCTAAAATGACATCTACAATCAGTTAGCAAAACACAAAAGAGAAGATTGTAGGGGAAAAAATGTGCTTCAATGGAATATGAATTGTCTATAGCACACACATCCACCTTATCAAATTCTGATTCTATGGAGCTGTTTTACAATTAACAGAATTCTAGGTAACTGACAACAATGCCCAATTCTTTTCTATAGACATGCAGTTCTTTATCTGGTAGAGGTTCAATTATGTTCATTCTAATCCCACAGAAAAAGAGCCTCTTTATTTCAGTATTTCTGATCTATAAAGGTACCAATTCTTTGGATTCCCCTGGAACTGGTTATAAAATCTACCTGGCTCCTGGTTGTTAATGAGTTAAATGAAATCTTTAACATGTGTTTAGTTTTTAATATCTATGAGAATCATGATTTTATCTTTTTCTGAAAATTAATCTTTTAACAAGATGAAGAAAGAAATGTCTAAATCTGATGATTAAAGATGGTGAAAATAAACACTAACAGGGCAAAACTAATAAATAAACGAATGAATAACAGAATCTGCCTTGAAACACAAAACATTTCTGCATATGTTAGATACTAAATTTTACACTCATGCTTACCTTGATCATCTTTGTCATTGCTATTTGCAAACTCTGGTGAGTATTTGGAACAATCTAAACCCAGAAGTTCCTGCTGTTGTTTTAAAATTTCATCCATCAATCTGGAATTATTTCTTTTGAATATACCTTAAAAGGGAAAAACAAAAACCTAAGTGAATCCCAACTAGGTGAATTTATCCTCTTCAATAAATAATGTATGCTCGTTGTGAAAACATTGGATCCAGAACTGAACAAATGCCAAACGAAGCAGGGATGACTAATCCTAAGTTAGAATCTAAAAGGAAAACATGACAACAAAACTTTGTTATTACAAGAGTCTGGCTTCAGGCTAAAGTCTTCAAGCTAAAAAAGGACAGAGGTAACAACTCTGTGTCAACATGAATGAGAGAAATCTAAACCTAGAAAGAAATTCTAAGAGATCATCTATTGATACCTTTATATACAGATAAACTGAGACCCGACATCCTTAAGGGACTTGTCCAAGAATTTATAAACTGCAGCAGCGGTCCAATGCCTGTATCTTCCTCTCCCAGTATAACATAATTTCTCTATAGATTTACTCTATACACTCAATACTATTACCTCAATTTGATTAGTTTCTTTTACAGTAAGAATAAAATACGAATTATGCAAAAAGCAAAGAACAGACAAAAGTACCAAAACCAAAATTTAGTAAATTCAAAGCGTGAAATAGGCTACATAAAACTGTTTTTGATTCCCCAACCATGCACAGAAAAGTTAAGACTTAAACTACTATCATATCATGAGAAAGATAAAGGAACTATGTGACATTTATTTAATATAAAACTAACATTGAGAGCTCTAACTAAAAAATGACAAATTTGGGGCTATATTCAGAGAGGCCAGCTTTCTAGTGGCCACTGTCTTTTGATCTTTATCAAGTGATCCTTCTCTGTAATGTCAGTCAGATCTGTCTTTAAAACAGTTTAAAGATTAACTGGGAGAGACAATATTGTAAATGTATATAAAATAGCACAGAACCTGCTGAATATGCCATACAGTGCCAACCTGGCTGTTTGTGTTTAACAGCAGTTCAAAGATAAAAGCAGTCTCCTTCAGTAGGAAAAGGCTTTGTAAAATAAGCAAGACTTAGCTGATCTGACCTCAGAAGGTTAAAGAGAAGAAAATGGAGAGGATAGTTAGATGAGGAAAATGCTTAAGAAAAAAAGCACTGAATACTCAAAAGGCAGACAAATGTTGCTGGTGCAAATGACGTGAGAAAAGAGGCAAGGGGATAGGCCTAATTTTTATTTCATTTTGCCAACCCAATGTAAGGCACTAGGGTCACCAGTGATTTCTGAGCGATGTGGAAATGTGTGGAAATTTTTATCTTTAGGAAAACCAAGTTAGCAACAGGACAGAGAAGGCCAAGCAGCAGACTACTGCAGCAGTCCACACATAATTTGATAAAGCAATGAAAAAGGATTCACTACAAAGGAAGAGTTGAGAGACAAAAGAACATGACTTGATTAGAGGTGAACACAGAAAATTCCACAATCCTGGATAACAGAAAGTGATAACATTTTTTAAGAGTAGGGAAATTATATAAAGAGAACTGGTTTGAAGGAAAAGATGAGTTTCGTTTAGACAGCTGATGACAGGACATTTAGGCAAGGGCTATTATAAAAGCAATTCAGAGACCTAAGGAAAGGACATTCATATAAGCAAGCACCACATGGGCAGGGCTCTCACTGTTTTGCTTACCAGTGGCTAGCACAGTGCCTGGCACAGAACAGACACTCAACAAATAAATGTTTGCAGAAAGAAAATGACAGGTCAGAGACCAGCCAGGGGACTGGGAAAGGCCTCTTTAGGGTAAGTGACATCTCAGGTGGCCCACAAAGAATTAAGAGAATTTTACAGGTGTGCGGCTGGACAGGTAACATAACAAAGGATTGAGGATGGAAATTTGGGAGTCATCCTCCTTCAGGTAAGAGCCACACACACAAATGAGAAACAAGGTCTCCAAACGTGAAGGAGCACACAGGGAGAGAGCAGAGGGCTAAGGACGTGGCTCCTTTTGAAAGCCCACAATCCTACAATCCTAAGCTTGGAAATATGAAAGCAAGTATTTTGTGATACCTGTACCCAGAGTAAGATTAAACAGAAAAATATATTCCCAAATACAAAGAAAAGTTTTAAAGGGAGGTGATTAATATTAGGAGCTATGTGAATAACAATGTTTAGGAATATTAATACTTGTGTAGCAATAAAAATATGTAGAATATAATCATTATCCTCAAGTCAATCATAAAATTCACACACATGATTAAAAAACACTAAAAAATAGCAATATAAACATACATTATGGGCTTATAAATGTTACAAGATTTCTAATTTATCAATTCAAATAAAAGAAAAGCTTAATTTAGACCACATTTTGGCCTATATTGTAGGTACAAATTATGGAAGGCATACGAATTTCAAAAATTTCTTAATTTAAAAACATAAAATCTCTACAACACTACTGCTAGGACATACGAGTGTATTATTGTTTTTTTTAAAAAAAAAAGGTTAAATAAATATATTCCTCATATGAACTAAGATTTACTCATTTTAATAGTAACCCAGACTAGGAACACTTGCTTTTGGGTAGTCACATCACACTTATCCTGACCTTTTCATTTGATACTCTGAAGATCTATGCTTCAGGTCTCACCAACTCACTCATCTTTACCTTAGCCTTTAGATTAAAATGGGAAAGCTCTTCAGGAACTCTTGTTCCCTCCAAGGCAATGGATAACATTCTTCATCATCAAAATGGTCACTACCTCTTCTCAATCTTTATCCTTTCCTTCTTAGCCATTCTGAAGTATTATCATTAACGACTACCTTGCTTCCTACTAAAAATTCTATCCTCATCTCAGCTCCTCTGAATGTCCTCTCCTGGTTCAACTCCCAGTCTGCTCCTTGAATGGCCCCTTCTCACTTTGCACTGAATCCTTTTCCTCTTTCCATCCCTAAATGGAGATTACTCCTCTGAGTTCCTACCTCAGCCTTCTTCCTGTCTACTTGTTCCTCTTCTCTGATTCTAGTCACTCACAGGACTTTAAAATCACTCAGGACCAGGGTAGATGAATGAGGCAAAATGGGGGGGGGGGATTCTCTGTAATTAAGATAAATAAGTTGATGCAATAGCTTTAAAAACTTGAAATTAACGCAAAAACATCTATGATGAACAAAACATTAAAATTTCAAGTAAAAACAGGATGAGCATTTGGTTCCTAACATTTTGAATTCATTAAAACATCTAATCCTACATTGAAGTTCTGTAAGCATCTGAAAATGAACAAATCTAAAACTTCGTAGCTTATCTTTTTGTGGGGGGGATGGTGGTGGTAATTAGGTCTGTTTGTTTGTTTCATGGAGGTATTGGGGATTGAATCTAGGACCTCATACATGCTAAGCACTCATTCTACCACTGAGCTATACCCTCCCCCTGGCAGCTTATCTTTTAAAGCTAGCTCTCAAACACTTACATTGCATCAAATTAAAAAAAAGAGAGGGGGGGACAGCACTTTAAGTGTAAAACTTATATGCACTTGGGGATAAGACCCAGAAGAGAACAGGCAATATGAGAACAGTAAACATATAAGGTTGATGGGATAATAGATGATTTAAAATCATAACTGCTGTAAAGCTCTGTTTGTATAATTTAAAAAAAAAATAGCCCTTCTTCTTGTTGTTCTATTTCCGATAAAGGCATCACTACCTGCCAGGGCACCCAGGCATCCTCTCTACTTTCTGGCATTATCACCACCACTCCCCAATGCCCTATTAAGATTCCAAACCCTTTACTCTTCTATAGCAATGTTTACTGTATCCATTTCCCTTTGTCCAATGTCCCCACTGTTTCAAACAACAGTCTCCTTCTTTATAATATTACAACCGCCTTCTAATGGGTCTTCCTGCCCTTTATAGCAACGTAGCACTAAATTAACTACCAACTTCCTTGGGGACATCTTCAATTCTGGCACATTCCAACTTTAATATCTTCAATGGCTCCCAAAATGCCTTAATGTATTAACAACAAACTGCTTAGATAAGCATTAACATTCCGGCGTATACTTCCACACTTGGTAGGTAGAAATAATTTATGTTTATGAAATGAATAAATCTTGCAATTTCTCAATAGTACTCTATCCCTGGCAAATTAGATTCCCTTACATCACCCCCCAAACACATGGAATGACTCCAACCCTCATCCTCTGTTACCTTCCCAGCCCCACACCTGTGAAATTCTCCTAATTATTCACAGGCCAGCTGAAGTGTTACTTATCCTGAAGAAGCCTTTTCTAATCCCCCTGCCAAATATGCCCAATTCCTCTTCTTACCTCACCCCCTCCAAAAACGTTTATCTTATTCAAACTCCTTAAAAACCAATATTCTGCTTTTTATTAGATACAGCTTAACCCCTCCCCCAACGCCACTGAACTGTAATCTTACTTGTGAACTTGGATCTTACTCATCTCTTTCCCCTTAAGGTACTTTCCACATAGCAGGAGTTCAATGTTTATTTGATAAACTGAATTATTAGTACACAAAGTGCCACCTAACAACAAAAAAACCTAAATGGACATGTCACTGAATGGAACCTTTAAGACATTTCCAGGAACCTCTCACAATAAAAGACATTTTCTTATTGCACATAGGCAGAAAGTCTGTTACAAAGGAAAAACTGTTGCAAAGAGGCACAGTTACAAAGTACCTTTTATGAAGAAAACTTTCATAAAGTTATTTTAAACTAAACCTTTGTCTTGGATGATTTGGATGAAGAGGTGAAATTTACAACTATAGTTTCTGAGAAGTGCTACATGCATAGGCAAGACAGATTACCAGCAAAATGATTCTTGATACCTCATAGCTTGACCCCCATCTAGAAATCTGATTATATTCTAAGATACTTATCTTACTTACCCATAAGCAACATTACCAGCTTACAATTTTCTTCAGGATTCAAAGCCCACCTATACACATTTCACATGATACACAAGAAAAGCAACAAGATCTAAGAATGCCTTTGACTGAGACAGACAATTCCTCTACAATATCATAATGTATGTGGAGATTCAGATTCAAAAGAAGATATATTGAATGTGTATTTT